CAAAGCCTGGCTCAGAGGGGTTCGGAGAAGAACCAGCCCAGGAAAGACTCATTAGGCCTCCGCTAAAATAATTGCGGCGAGGCAGACCGCTCTCACCTCTGAATTAATTGATGAGCTGGCAAGGTAAGGCCCAAAGGTTTGGGACTGTGCTGCTGCCCCAGAGAGCTGGAGCCACCTCAAACGCCTGACAAGGAAATCTTTTGAGCTGACTGCATCCTCTGGGATGCTCTATAAATACATTCAGGGGAGAACATGCATACGGATAGAGTCGATAAAGAGATCTGACAGAAAAGCACTGTAGTATTTTACTTTCCCTCTTTGCCCAAGGCAAGCCATTTCTGCTCGCTCTCTCCCTCGGACAGCCATGTGAGACATCCCCGCTCTTCTCCGTGATCATTAATCCTTGCAGCAAAGGCGATGGGGGAGCAGATCTCTGTGCCTGAGCAGACACATCTCTGTGACAGCTCTGCAAGGCCGGGTAAGCCTTTAAAGGCTGCAGCTCTGAGGTTTGCCAAGCTGCTGGGAGAGCCAGGCAACTTCTGCTCCCTTCTGGGGAGACGCTGGGGGATGAAAATGCCCACCCAGAGCACCACCAGCAGCACCAGGGCAGGCTTCAGGCTGTAGGGCAGTGGTGACATCTACGTGCTTTGAGTGCACGGCAGGGCAGGCCCCTGTAGGTTGTTCTCCTTCCAGGAGCTGCCTTCTTCCTCCCTGGCCACGGTGTCTCCACGGTTGGAGACCGGTTCCTTCCCAGCCAGGAGCAGCCTGGCACCTGCCAGGAAAGGGAATTTCATGCTGGCAAGGCCACAAGAGCACGAAGCCCTCAGCATCCTCATCCCAATGCTGCGGCGCCAGCCCCAGAGGTGGCGGCTGCTCTCCCACAGCACAGGACAAGGCAGGACGGGGATGACCCCGGTTGCTGGCAGCACGTGCCCCACACAAGCTGCTTCCCCAGCCGGGATGTGAATGAAGCTGTGTCTAGGGTCGATGCTTGCTCTGAGTCAGGAAAAAAAAATGGTGATTTCACACGAGACAAACCGCAGCAGCAGGGACTTTGAAACTGGCCAGAAAACCTCTTTCCTGCTCAAAGCAGCGATGCCACCAGAGCTGTGGTTTTATACCTGCCCCCAGGTAGCAGGAGCGAAGCAGAGGACTCGAGCAGACACCGGCGAGGTGGAGGTGCCTGCACAAGGCCTGCCCCAGCCTCTGAGGAGGACTGCATCCAGCGCGCGGCCACGGGTCAGCCACCCGCCTGTCAGGATGAGAGGCAAAGTGCCAGCAGCTGAATGGTGGCCTGGGGCTGCCAAATTTCTCCCAGACGAGTGGGAAAGTTGGGAAGCCCGCTGTGAGTGGCAGGAGACGTGACGCAGAGCCCCAGCTTCCCATATGTTCCATTAGGCACGCAGGAGGAGCGCGGCGCTCTGCGGAAACAGGTTAAATGCAGAACCTCTCCGCGTGCAGAGCTGGCCCCGAGATGGGTCGAGAGGCGCCCAGGGCTCTCCACCTGAGCTGACACAGCGCAGCCCCTCACTTCTCCACCCGCAGAAAGCCCAGAGCCAGGTCCTCGGGCTGTCCTGGGGTGGGCAGCATGGCTCAGGCGTGGGAGGCTGCAGCACAGAGCTCTCGGATGCCAGGGGAGGACGCGGAGGGTAAGGATTAGGGAGCTGCCCCCCGTGTGTGCCACTCCTCGGGCTTCCTTCTCCCCGCTGCCCACCTCAGCGCCGCTCGTGCTCGCAGGATGAAAACTTCCCGGGGAGGCTGTGTTGCTAAAAATATTGAATAAATGGGAGCCGCTGCGAGCGCGTGAAGCGATGTGATGTGACACGCAGCTGGGGGGTGCCAGCTAGCAGCGAGCGGCCACGAGAAGCCAGCTGGCAGCAGGCGAGGAAACGGGCACCGGGACCCGCGGGCAGGGCAGGGGGGGCCCACGCAGGGCTGGGGGCTGCAGCAGCGCCGTGCCCAGCCCCGGCTGCCAGCAGAACACGGGAGAAAAACCCCAGGATGAGCTACGCCCACACAAGGCACCCCCGGTGCCTGCCGCTGAGAGCGGGACGGGGTGGAGAGGATGGGTGGGAAGATCTGCAGACCCTGTCCTTAGAATTGTCTATCCCTAAAATAAGCCCAAATCTCATCCGCTTACATCACAGCCTTCGCTGTGACAGCAGCATCTCAGGTGGGTTTTATTTCCAAGAGGGAAACGTGGGCAGGATGCAGGAGCAGAGGGTCCTGGCTCTTTCCCACCTTTGCCAGCCCTGCTGCTGGCTGCCACCAGTGGGGCAAAGAGCGGGCTGTAAGGACACAGCTCACCTCCGATTCTCCACCCAGGGCTGGATCACGGGGACGAGGTCAAAACACAGAATTAAAAAAATAAATAAAAAAGAAACCGCTCTCACACGAAGCCAGGCCTGGTTGCAAGCAATGTGAGAGAGCTCCCAGGTGCAAGGAGGGAGGCGGTCAGCTGAAGAGTCCTGCCGGGCCCAGGGGATGAGACGGAGGGGGCTGCGAGTCTCAGCTTGCTGGTGGTAAGTTCTGGATAAAGATATCCCTCTCCTCATCCTCCCTGGAGAGATAGATGTGCAACTCCGAGCAGTCTCGGCTCAGCAAAGGGCTTCGCCTACAGCTTGGGGCTGCCCAAGCTCAAAGGAGGCCAAAGGAGCTGCCAGAGGCAGGGGATGTGCCATGCACGGAGCAGCATCCTACAGCAACGAGACCGTGGCTGAAACAAAGCATCCGCTTCTGCTAGGGGCACGTCAGAGAGGTTCCCAAGCTGGGAACACGTCAAAAAAGGGACTTGGGAATTATGAAGGGATTGGAGAATGTGTCAGCGATGGACTTTACAAGCTCTCCGTAGTCACTTTATCAAAGTGGAAGGCAAGAAGTGACTGCATCCTGAACAAGGATGTCCTGAGGGCTGCAAGCCCCAGAGGACACCCGGGGATGTGACTCCCTGCCTCTCTGGCTGCCTGTGGGGCTCCGGGGATGGGCGATGCCAGCCCGCCCGCTGCGTGGGGCTCGCCGGAGCGGCGCACGTGCCCGCAGCCTGCCGCAGAGAGCTAATTAAACCCGAGCCAGAATAAACGCTGCTGGAAATGGCAGGATGTCACGGCTTAATGAGCAGCTCTCGGAGCCACTGAGGACAGTCACCCCGGGGAACAGCTCCGCAGGGGCTCCCTGGAGCTGTCCCCAAGCTGCCGGGGGTACCTGGGAGCAGCCGCTGCCACCTCCCCAAAAACAGGGCAGGGAGCCCAGCGTGTTGGCACCCCGAGGCTGGCACGGGGCACGTGCAGGCAGCCAGGCTGGGCCAGCTGGAGGCTGCTGGAAAGCAGGGGGGAGGCAGCGAGGTGGCGAAGCCAAGCAGGGAGCCAGGCGGTGCAGGAACACCGCCCCGCACAGCGCCGCACAGCCCTGCTGGCAGCAGGGAGAGGCTTTGGCAGGAGCTGTTTGGAAAACAGCACTCGGGAGGGCCGCTAAACAAGCCCAGCCTATCCCTTAAATAACCTGCACTTGCAAAACAAGCCAGCGAGGTCTCTGGGGCTTCTCCGAACGCAGCTCCTGGCAGCGAGGTGCTGCCAGCCAGCCCCCCGGGCAGCAACACCGCTCACCTGCCCTCTCCTGAGATCCCCAGGCAAAAATAAACCCGGCACCTTTACCCCAGCACAGCACCACGAATCCCCTTCCAGCCCCTTGCCCCTTTCTCTGCCACCCCGGAGCCCTCTTTGCACCCTTCCCCTGCTGCTCCACATCTCCTCCCTCCGCCCCCCCTCCTGCTGACTCCCCTTGAGCCAGCCCCATCACCCTGTCCCCCTTCACACCCTCTTCCCCTGTCAGGGACGTGGGGAACCCCGCGCCCCATGCCTGACCCCCATCTCTCAGCACCAGCAGCAAGCAGGCGCAGCACCAAATAAATAAATAAATAAACAAATAAATGAGGCAGCTCCGTCTCGTCTGGGGTTGCTCGAGGGAAGCGGGCAGCCGGGGGTGGGATGGAGGATGCTATTTGGAGCAGCCGTCTCCATGGCAACCCCCATTCCCACCACAAATTGGGCACAGGTCGCCCATTTCCATCCAAGTTCCCCCCCCTTTTTCGCCTTCCCCATCCCCAGACAGGGAGGTGCGGGAGCAGGGTTTTACAGGAGACACAGGTCCTGGCCAGCGTGGTACAATGCCAGTGCCACAGCGCCGGGTTTTGGGTTCCTCCGGGCGCACCCCAAAACTCGCCAGGGCTGACCAAAGCTCTGCTCCCTGCACGGCTGAACAGCTCCTGCAAACCCAGCAGGGTCAGTGACAGAGGTAGGTTCACCCAAGAGCACTTTGCCTGCCCCGTACAAAGGGAAAGACAGAGCTCAGGACGCATCCCCTCCTTTTTGAGCACCGCTCCGGATGCTGTGTAGGATTCCAAGGGATTATTTTATTCCAAAAGCGGGCGTCCTCCTTAGAAGCTGCCAGGTGCTCCCAGAAGGACCCTTTTTGGCCGTAACAACCCCACCTCCAGCAGCACACACCTTCGGGGCAGGGCCAGCTGCACCCACGGCTGAGGTTTGGGCACCTCCTGGGCAGCCCCCGGCCCGCTGCAGCCCGGGGGCTGGCACCCAGGCAGCGCGCCCGCAGCACGGCGCAGGCTGGGAGATTCGCACGGCTCCCCCACAGGGCTGGGAGTTTCGCCAGGAAAAGCAAGTTTATAAATAGTGCGCTTCCACACGAACGAACGAAAGCGGCGCAACTCGGCAGGCAGAGAAGCCACGAGCTCAACACCGTCCCCTCCCCAGCACCCTGCCCCGCGAGCAAGCCAGCAGAGGAGAATCTGCTTCTAAACACAAGGGCAGAGCAGACAAGGAGTGACCAGGAGGCCACCCCGCTGGGGGACAACCTGCCAGGTGGCTCAGGGAGATCTTAACGGCATCGCCCAAGGGAAGGCCAGCAGGAGGTGATGGTTCAGAGCAGCCCCATCAGCTGCTGGCAGGATGCTGGCAGCTTCTGGGTGTCCCCCGCACGCCGCTTACCTTGATGTAGGTGTCGAGGGCGGGGTGGACGCGGTTGACGGCGAGATGGATGGACAGCGGCGTGGTGAACGGGAAACTCGCCATGACCACGTGGCTGGGAGTGGGGAAGGAGAAGATCTTGAAGCCGTACTTCTGGAACTGCCGGATCTGCTCCTCCGTCGGCTTCGCATCTCCCTCGCTCAGGATTCGGCCGATGGCAAAGCGACACTTCTCTGGGGAGACCTGGCCAAGGGGGAGAGAGCAGCTGAATGCCAGCCGAGCCTCCCAGCAAGCAGGTGCCCACTCCCAACCACGACCAAAGCTGTTCCACGCAGAAAAAAATCTCTCCTGACCGCCCCCACGGTGTCCCCTCAGTGCAGTGCCCTGCTTCAGGGGCAGGGAAACCACAGCAGGGAGCTCCTGCCATCTCCACGGCAAAGCTCACCCAGGTCAGGGCTTCCATTCCTAGCTCTGGGACCATCACTCAGGTGCACGTTTGGCTGTGGCACGCTGCAGGAACATGCTGGGAACAGGATAGAGCCTGGCAATTGCCCCCTGAAGCTCTCCAGCCTGCTGGGTGGACAGAAGGCAGGGTGGCCAGCAACCAGGAGCGGCCGACACCTGGCGGCTTTGGCCAGGGAGAGCTGGAGGACTTAAGCCTCCAAACTCACGCTGTGTAAGGTGGCAGAACTCACCAGGAGCCACCAGGATGCCTGAAAGCAGCAGCAAGACGGACAGACAGGCTGGGGAACCTGCCTGTGAGGCTCTCGCGGGGAGACAGAGGCAGAGGGAGGGTAACAGCGAGGGCAGAGCGTCACCACAGCCCCGCTCTGGCCCCACAAGGGTCTCAGTTCCCAGAGGAGGCTCCCCAGTCGTGCCTCCAACTCCACCCGTGCCAAAGCTCCGGAGAGGAAACGTGAGCAGAGGCAAAGATGAAGGAAGAGAGCAGGAGCAGCAGCATCCGTCTGCGGGCGAGACGGCTCGCTCTTGCCCTCGTGTGCTGCAAGAGAGAGCTGCAGACGGGCTCTGCTGAGCGCCGCGGTGCTGGGGCAGGAGAGGGCGTGATTTGTCCCAAAGAGAGCGGAAGCCCAGAGAAAAGGATCCCCAGGGGAAGACCCAGCTGAATCGAGGAGAGTCAGCCCCACAAAACAGCCACTTTTGCTCTGCTGAGCTGGACAGGAGATGAGGCCAGGGGTGGCATCCGTAAGGAGACAGGAACGTGGTCAACAGCAAATGTTCAGCTGCCTCACCCTGCAGACACTGAACGGTGGGAGCAAAGCCCCTCCTGCCCCAGGAGCATTTCAGCCTTGGCCATCAGGCGTTTGGGCAGGCAGGGCATCAAGCCCCAGCAGGCGAGAGGCCTCTGCACGCACCCCGAGCTTCAACCCTGCCCGCCACATCCAGGCCCTGCTGAGGAGCTATTTTTGTCCCTGCCAGAGGTGGAAGAAGCCCTTTGGGCTGCTAAATATTGAATAAAAAAGAAAAAAAAAGGGATATTAATATTAATCTCGTCCATTAAGACGCATCAAACTGTGCTGGCAAGGGTTCTGCAGCACTCCAAGCCACCACGTGGACACCCAGGGGGGCACAGCCAGGGATGCTGTGGGACACACGGGGCACCTCTGCTGCCTCCTGCCCTCGGGTCTGCTTTTGGGGTCAGGACACCACCTGCAAGGCCAGGAGGGTGCTGCTGCCCTCCAGGGGGACCTGGGCAGGCTGGAGGAGCAACCCCAGGCCCCAGCACGTGCTGGGGAGCAGCCAGCTGGGAGGAGACCCAACAGAAAAGGATCTGGGGGGACTGGTGGACACCAATGAGCCAGGCTTGTGCACTCATGGCAAAGGTGGCCAGTGGTGTCCTGGGCTGCGTTAGGAGCGTTGCCAGCACATCAAGGTGATCCTGCCCCTCTGCTCAGCGCTGGTGAGGCCACACCTGGAGAGCTGGGTCCAGTTCTGGGCTCCCCAGGGTGAGAGAACCACAAACAGACTGGAGAGAGCCCAAGGAAGGGCCACAAAGATGCTGAAGGCACCGGAGCATCTCTCCTGGGAGGAGACACCATCTGCAGGGCAGGAACAGATATATCTACACCACGTCCCTGGGGTGGGACAGTGCCAAGCACGGCTCTGCTCCCTTCCAACAGCTGCAGCTGCTCCACCTGACAAGACAAGGCCCCTCCAAGCTACGTTTTCATGGACGAGCATCTAAGCAGGTCCAACCTTTGGGAGCAAAAAAGCAGAGGCGGGCACTACCCAGCCCAGGAGGGCTCCCAAAGCAGGGCCAGGCACTCCAATACCCCATGGCACAGCAGCACGGAACCAGAGCTCTTGGCCCAGCCACTGTGCCCCCTCCGAGCCCCAGCGCAGGTGCCCAAACACATGTGCAGGGCCACAGGCCCCTCCTGGCACTCCTCCCTTGCAGCATTCTCCCAAGGTCACACCAGCTACTGCAGAATTACTGGAGACCTGGGCAGGTGCCTGCACGCTGCTATCTGGAGGCCCCGGTGCCACCCAGAGCTGGCAGCCACGTCGCTCGTCCCCAAGTAAGTTATGACGCTGCTGTTGTTCTCTGTGTCTCCAGAGCACCAAGCTCTGGCCAGTAGCACACGTTTGCTGCTCGCCTCCCCACCTGAAGCAGGCTGTGGAGCCCCTGTTTCATCAGCCAGGAGCCCTCAGCACTCGCCTGCTGAGGTTTCGGTAACAACTGTCAAGGGATGAAACGACTACGGGGAGCTTGGAAACACCAGGGAATGGCAGAAACAGGAGGAGGAGCATGGATGGGGACACAGCAAGCTGAAGACACCAGCTGCCTGGAGCCACAGAGCAGAAGGAGCCTCAGCTGTACTGCCTGCTGGCAGGTCCTTCGGGGAACACATCGCCATGGGACCACAGCACTGGGCTCTGCCCCGTAACCAAAGCAGGGGCACAACTTGCTCAGCAGGAGCCACCAGAGCTTTGCTTTGCCCATTCCTTCCAGCGAGGGGTATCCAAAACACCGCCTGCCTTCAGATGCGTTTATGCCCAGATTGTCCCTCGCAGACCTGGAGATCTCACGAGCCCCAACACTCACCGAAGGAGGGTGAGCTGCAAGTGCCCGAGGCAGTGCCAGGGAGGTGCCCGAGCTGCAGACCCGTGCAGGCAGAAGCTTACCGTGTGTGGATTGTCGTAGTAGACACCGATGGAGCAGAGCTTCGACGAGATGCTGCAGCCGTCTGTGAAGAGCTGCCCCGATTCACCATAGGGACCCACTCTGAACTTGTAGGCCAGCGTGATGCTGCCGATGGGCGGCGAGCCGGCGCTCACCACCACCTCTGTGAAGAGCCCCGAGTAGACAGCGAAGCCGAAGACGGTCAGCAGCAGCAGCACGACCAGCACCGCAATCAGCCCGAGGAGCACCCAGTCGGACATGATGGACACCTGGTGCTTCATAGGTCCTGCACGACAGCGGCAAGAAGAGAGGGAAGAGCGCGGGAGTTAAGCTTGCGCTTGGACAAAGCATTCAGCAGAAAGATCCCCGGTCGTGCTCACCTGCTCCAGCCTGGTCACCAGACACCAATTATATTGCTTTGGTGCCTCCCGGGATTTCTGTGTTTATAGGGGTGGGGACAGAGAGGCGCCGGCTCCATTGCCCAGGAACCAGTGAAGCTGCTCGCCTCCAGCCTCGCACCCAAGGGAGATCACAAGCAATCTAGTGAGCCTCTGTCACTGCACAGACCACAAGCAGATGTACAACACTATGCTAAAGATTACGGGTCCTTAATCAAGTAATTTATTGCTTACACACACCAGACCCTACATCATGGCCAAGGCAGCCTCACTGACAAAAAACCTCAAGCCCAGGCCCTCGAAGGGCTGAGCAAGGAGCTGCTTCAGAGCTCAGCCCCGTGCGCGGGGATCCAGGTGCACAGGGAGGCTCAGGAGGAGAACAAGACCCAGCTAGAGAAGCATCCCCAACACCTGGGACGGCTTTTTTCCACCCAGAAGTTTTTAACACCCTAGCCAGGGCTTCCCATTTTGTTTGGCATCTTTCTTCCCTCACGCTTGCCTGCGTGGCACAGCAGCTGGGGGAGCAGCTCCCCAAAGGTCCTGCCCGCAGCACAACTGGGAGCTGTGATGGGGCCCAGCAGGCAGGAGCTGTTTGGAGCTGTTTGGAGCTGTTTGTGCTTCGCTCTCCCCTGAAACCCAGCGCTGGTGACAGGGTCCTGGGGGACTGCTATGGGGAGCTAGGCTCCAAACCCAGACCGCAAACAAGCGCTTCACCTTGAGCTCTGCCCGATAAACACGCTCAGTCCAAAACAAGCTTTTCACCTCGGTCACGGCAGGCTGGGCTTTACCAGGCACCAAAAGCCACATCCCGGTTAGGGGCACGAAGGGGGGGGGGGGAAACGGGGCTGGAGCCCCGACCCCGCTCACCTGGGCTGCGGGGCGCTGAGCCCGGCGGCAGCGCGCGGCCTCGTCCCCCCGCGTCTGCAAAACAGGAAAAAATAAAAATCATCAATGTCAGCACTTCCTCCAGGCTCGGCAGAGCCCCAGCCACCAGCTCTGCCGGCACAAAGTCCCCTCACAGCGGGGCCACGGCGCTGCGGGCCCGGCCACGGGGAGAGGAGCCCCGGGGGCCGGGGGGGGGGGGGGGGCAGGAGCCAGGCACGGGGCAGCTCCGAGGGGGCAGGGCCCGGTCCCACCATGGCTCCGGCTTCACGGGGACCCCCCCACGGCCGCCACCAGCCCGGAGGGACCGGAGCCGGCTCGGCTCAGCCCGGCTGGGCCCAGCCCGCAGCCACCGGCCCGGCCTCCCGGAGCCGGCCCCGCACCGGGAAGCGCCGCAGCCGGAGCTCGCCGCCGGCCCCGGGCGGCCCCCGGGTGGCACCGCCACCGCTGTCCCCGTGTCCCCCCCTTCCTCCACCCCCGGGCACCCACCTCGGCCGGGCGAGCTCCCCGCTGCGGCCCGCCCCGCCCCGCACCCGGGAGGGGCTTCCGGCAAGCGGCAGGGGCTGGGCGAGGCGCTGAGGGGCCGGGAGCCCGGGGATGGCGCTGAGGGACGGGGGGACGGGGGGTGAGGGCAAGAGCGGCGCCCAAAGGGGTCCCCCAGGTAGTGGAGCCGAGCTGCAGGTTCAAGGGGGGCTGAGGCAGCGCTCGCAGCTCTCGGGGTGAGGGTTGGAGATCCTGTGGGGAGCTCTCTGGTGGTCCTGTATGGAGCTCTTGTGGTGGTCCTGGTGGTCCCATGTGGGGCCAGGAGCTGGACTCCATAGTCCAGCGGCTCCCTCCCGGCGCAGGGTGTTCTGTGAGCCTGGGGGTCACCTCCTTCATCGCATGGAGGGGCCCTGGCTCCAGCCCAGCAGCAGCAGCGATGCCCCGCATGTGCCCCAAATCACAGAATCACAGAATTTCTAGGTTGGGAGACACCTCAAGATCATCGAGTCCAACCTCTGACCTAACGCTAACAGTCCCCACTAAACCATATCCCTAAGCTCTACATCTAAACGTCTTTTAAAGACTTCCAGGGATGGTGACTCCACCACTTCCCTGGGCAGCCTGTTCCAATGCCTCACAACCCTCTCAGTAAAGAAGTTCTTCCTAAGATCCAGCCTAAAACTCCCCTGGCGCAACTTAAGCCCATTCCCCCTCGTCCTGTCACCAGGCACGTGGGAGAACAGACCAACCCCCACCTCTCTACAGCCTCCTTTAAGGTATCTGTAGAGAGCAATAAGGTCGCCCCTGAGCCTCAGCACCGCCCTCACAACCTCCGCTGGAGGACTCCTGCCCAAGCTGTGGCCCAAATCCTGGCTTTCCCTCCCTGGCTCCCCGCCCCCTGCTCCCACCCTCCCATCTATATCCCATCAGGGTCACGGAACCGTTTAGGCTGGAAAAGGCCTTCAGGATCATCAGTGTGGATGGATCGAGTTCAAGCATAGCTGAGCATCCATCCTGCCCCTCCGTTGTGTCTTTTTCTGGTAGGGGAAGGTGAGCTGGGCCTGCTGGAGTGCACTTGGGACGCAATGGAAGCAAACATACGTGGAAAGGATGCTTACTGCCTTGGGCATGTGGTGACAAACAGCTCAAACAGCATGGAAAAACCCACCCTGGAGGGGCAGGCAAGAGGTCGGGACAAGTTGCAGCTCCAGGGAATTTCCAGACCAGCAGGACTCCATCCAAACTCCTTCCTGGCCTCCTGCAACACAGCAGCTCCACACCAGCACTGATAAGCAGAGACCAGCACTTGGTCCCTTCGGACAAGGAGGGCAGCGCAGACGCACGGAAAGCACCCACCCAGCAGGGGGAGGCTGCCTGCAGAGGCTGAACCCAGGGCTCTTTCTGAGCCCCAAAGCAATGTTCCTCAGAGCAACCCAGGGACGCGGTGTCACTGTCCCTAATACGACCTGGCTGCCCCCAAACTTGCAGGATTTGCAACCAAACCACTGCAGCGTTCAGCTCCACGTGAACCTGAACAGGGTAGGATCCCCTCACCAAAGCAAGGCCTGTGCAGCATCCTGAGCAGCAGAAACTTCCAGCAGCAAGACCAGGAGGAATCGTCCGTTCAGAGACCAGTCCTTTTTGGTCCGATGCACGGCACCCTAAGATTTCTCAATCAATTTCCCATTTTATAACCTTTACATAACCAGGCTCCTTGCTCCTGAAAATAGCTTTTCCAAGTCCTTCAGTCAGATGGGGGTCAGTAGGATGTTCCCAACACACTTTTATTTCGAACCAATGCATTGGTTCGAAAATAAACCTTTTCTCACGTTTATACTTCATTCTCTGGTGAGTTTAATTATTTAAAATACCGCAAGGGGAAACACCTCATTGTGGCTTTCATTTTGCTGGGATAAATAAAAGAAAAAAGCATTCATACAAATCAGTCCCCATTCCCTTTCTCTACACCTACTCCATTTTGACTAAGTATTTTGGAGTGGAAATGCCTAGAATTAGACAGATTACTCCAGGTGTTTTGCTGTGCCCTTGGTCTTAATCCTGACTTCTGTCACAGGGAATTTCCATGGATGCTAAAAGCCAACCTGTGGGAAGTTATTGAAGAAAACCTGTTGCAGGCCATGAACTGCTGTTGAAGAAAACCTGTTGCCCATGAGCTCCTCCTTTTGCTGTCGATGCACTGAACAGCAGATCAGGATGTCGCACTTCTGACTGCCAGCTACTTACTGAGAAACTAAGACGTTGTTTTACTTAACAAATCATGACAGAGTTTTCTTCTCTTTCTTTTAGATGTTACATCTCCCCTGGTGGCTACTGGGGGAGCAATCAATCGGTCAGCAACCGCATTTGGACATGGCTTTGATTTTCTATGCAGATCACTTGCAAGTTTGGAGGGATGCATTATCCAGCATCGAACTCCCTCAAAAACAATTCTCAACTCTGCACTCTCAACATTTGTGCCTCCTGCTGTGTCCTGTATCACACAGGCACATGAAGAATGGGTCTATGCGCACCTTCTCCTGGTGGAAATATATTTTGTAAGACCATTTGCATTGAAATATTCTCTAAATTTCTCCTCCCGGGGCATGCCTTCAACTTTCAACATCTCAGCACCAATTGTGTACTTCCTTCTTCACCCTGAGTACAATCTTATATCATCTTTGAGCTACAAATGAATACAAGTATACAAACTAGGCTTTTCTGCCTTCTTCTTTTTTTTTTTTTTAACCCACTTTCTTCTACGTGAAATTTAGGTTTAGATTTTTTTTTTCTTTCTGAAAACATGACACGTTACCCAGAGTATTCCTCCATTTTCCATCTAGACAGAAGACGGAAAGCACGAACTTGCTCCAGTCTGTCAGCTTTTCTTGTTCAGCTTTACAAGAGCAATTCAAGAAGGAACAACGAACAGGTACACCTATCCCAACCTCAATTGCTAACTTCAAAACTTGAAAATGAAGCTCTTACAAGCAGGTTATGGTCCTGTTTTTACTACACACATGTAAATAGTGCTTTTAAAAAGCTCTCTGTCAGCTGTGTGAAGAATTGCACTACAATAGCGATTCCAAACTTAAGGTTGACAGACATTTTTAAGATTTTCATCTCCCTCCTGGCAAAAAACTCTCCTGAAAAAAAATAATTCAGGAGCCTCTTCTGGCTAAAGAACACCCGCAGGGTTCTGCTATGAACCTGAGGAGTGGGAACTCTTCCAAATGGACATCAAGAATTCCTGATTATTCACACCCTTGTATTATAATATTATATTCACACCCATGTAGGTTACGGTGTTGCTGTATTGATGCCTATTCAGTCAGAGGCATCTCCAGACAAATATTTTTAAGGCTAAGGTAAACCATGCCTCAGTTTTGTCTCTGCCTTTCCTACACTAGGAATCTAGACAACTAACTCAGGCTCAAATATCTAAGGAAAATGGAAAGAATTCCACCCATTTTGGTGACTCTTAGAGAAAAAAATATACCTGTTGTGTAAGTGATTGCTCAGAATTGCTGGGGTTTGTTGCAGTCTCAATAGAGAAAGCTGGAAAAGGGTAAGGACTGAGATCCAGCCCAGAGAAAAGACAGGAGAAGCAGTGGAGGACAATCGTGTAACACGTCATGAATATTTTGTGACACTTCAGTGCAAAAAAGCCCAGTCATAAGGGACCAATCTGGCAGAAAGTACATAAACTGCTGATGCACATTTTATGCTGACAGCAGTCTGATTTTCTGACCAGGATATCATTCAGAAACTGCCACTCTCATCTGCAAAGTCAGAAATTGAGGCGAGGTGAATTTCCAAATAAAGTTTTATTTTGGCTCAAAGTTGCACAGTGCTTTGCCTTGGCATTTGCAGGTAAAACAGTTTCTCAAGAAGTTTTATGAGGCCATTGTGAGATTTCACTGGTCCTTGCTGTCCCTCAGGGGTCAGTCTAAAGCTGAATTTGTGGCAGAGAACAGAAAACTGAAAATCCCCAGGGACTCTCAAGCTTTCCTGAAAAATCTGAGTTCAATTTGGGTGGGCTCTGCCTTGTTCAGGTCAGAGCTGCTCCCAGGGGGGCTACAGAGAGGTGCTCGCAGTGAGATGGCAGATTATTCAGTGGCTGTGGAAGGATGGCTCGCCACCTCTGGGGACAACTCTAGGGACACTGTACCTACAAATGACCGATGTGAGCCTCGAGGACACTACTGAGTATCACTGCACAGGGTCTTCAGCCCTGGAACACGGGCTTGTCCACGCTGACATGGTAGAGTTGCCTGGTGGCAGCAGTTAACCCAGAGCCATTCACCAGAAGGATGGCATCCAGTTTGCATCCCCTCACCCCAAGTTCTTCTCCCCCATTTCTATCCGTTTGCTTCAGTACCAGACCTATTTTTGTGAAGAAATGCAACATTGTGCAGAGGCTGGGGAGGCCCAGTGACGCGCATCCCACAGAGACTTGTTCCAAAACTCAGAAAGCTGAAAGCAAGGCTTTTTCCCATTTAGCTACAAGACCTTTTCTCCCCCTATACAAGGGGGCAAGTCTTTTGTTTTTGCACTATTTGCTCCTGCATCTTCTGCTTCTTGTCCTTCTTTTTTTTTTTTAAAAAAAAAAAAAGAACACAAAAGGATTGCATTAAGTCTAACTGAAAAAGTTTTTTTTTTCCAGATAGATACAGTCCTCTTCTTACTTACTGAAACTGAAATATTCTTCTAGGAAACTCAGCATGAAATTGAGTGATAAAATGCCAAATTTATGCCTCGATTTTTCTCAGGGAACTTTTTATGCAACTATACATTGGTCTGAACTGAGTTGCCCAAAATAAAGTTTTCTGTTTGAACTGAGTGATTAATTTTAAACTCTTCTCATATCAAATAGTCTAGCAATTCTCTGTATGATTCCCATATTTCAACATGCACAATTTTAGAGGAAAATTCCATTCTGAGTTCCAAAAGCTTTGAATTCACAAGCATTTTATTGTGTCAGGGACAGAATGCTGGCAAATTGACGTGGTACTTCCCTGGAATAAGTGATCAAGTGAGCTGATGTGAATCAGTCACTGCTGTACAAGGCATACAAGATTTATCATCAACTCAAACCATCTCAGAACCTTGTGCAGGCAAGACTGAGGATAGAACCAGTACCCTGGGGAAAGTTGAGTAGGATTTGTTAGTGTCAGGTCAGAGGCTGGACTCTGTGATCTTGGAGGTCTCTTCCAACCTGGATGATTCTGTGCTGAGAAAAAAGATTGGTTCGTATGGCATTTGGTATTACTTCCTCGCTTGTCTCATCTAAATCTCTCCTCTTTTAGTTGGAAGCCATTACCCTTGTCCTATCACCACACTCCCTGACAAAGTGCCTCCCCAGCTTTCCTGCAGCCCCCTTTAGGCACTGGAAGGCCACTATCAGGTCTCCCCAGGGCTTTCCATTCTCCAGGTTGAACAGCCCCAGCTCTCTCAGCCTGCCTTCATAAATCCTTCTCTCCAAGGCTGCTCTCTGTCTCGTCACCCAGCCTGTGTTTGTGCTCGGCACTGCCCCAGCCCAGGTGCAGGACCTTGCACTTGGCCTTGCAGAACCTCATGAGTTTCACCCGGGCCCACCTCCCGAGCCTATCCAGATCCCTCTGGATGACATCCCTTCCCTCCAGTGCGCTGACCACATTACCCACTGACTGGTCCATCCATCAAATCCACGTCTCTCCAGTTCAAAGACAAGGATATCATGGGGGGACAGTGTCAAATGCTTCCTACAAGACCAGGTCGGCCACATCAGCTGCTCTTCCCTTACCCGTGAATGCCCTAACCCCATCGCAGAAGGCCACCAGATTTTTCAGGCACGAATCTGCCCTTAGTGAAGCCCTGTTGGCTGTCTCCAGTCACCTCCTTATTTTCCATGGACCTCAGCAGAGTTTCCAGGAGGATCTGCTCCATGACCTTGCTGGGCACAGAGGTGAGACTGGCCTGTAGTTCCCTGGGTCTTCTTTTTTCTCCCTTTTTAAAATGGGGATTGTGTTTCCCCTCTTCCAGTCCCTTCAAGTCCCCCCGGGAACTTCACCAGACTGCCACAGCTTCTTAAATGTGACAGAGAGAGGCTTAGCAGCTACATCTACCAGTTCCCTCAGGACTTACAGGTCTATCTCATCAGGTCCCATGGACTTCAGGTCCCTTAGATGGTCTCCGACAGATCTTCTCCTACAGTGGGCAGTTCTTCATTCTTTCAGCCCCTGCCTTTGCCTTCTGGGGCCCAGGTTACGTAGCTGGAAGTCATCTGACATCCAGACTATCCCCACAGAGGCAGAAATAAAGCACTGCATCATGGCTAGGAAGACAGGCTGCCTTGATATTTAATTGTTGTCACCTAACTGCTGCCAGAAGATGAGCATGGTGGAAACCAGACCACAGACATGTAACATGGACAGCACTTTTTCGTTAGGCTTTGGCAAAAGGCAAGTAAGAATGAATACCTGTGACTCACAAGAGCTGGGTCTGAGCCATATTTCTGAATGTAGAAAGGCTGCATCAAAGCAGCTCCAGTGTGAAGTAGAAAAAGACCTCTGTGGTACGCTGAATTTAGCAACGTCACCAGGAGCTTCTGACTCAGAGCCCACTGCCCAGCCACGCGTGCACATCACCACCACACCTACCTGCCAAACCAGCACGACTCGGCTCGTGCGGAGCTCTGCCACCAGCAGCCGTGAAGCAACATCTCATGAAGAAATCCTTTTTCTTTCAGGGTTATAATTAAGCCATGCTTCGTACCACTGCTGCTGGCTAGCACGGGAAGGTTGCTGATGAGCTGTACTGGGAGAAAAGGCAGATCGAGTCAGATCAGGATCCCGCTTCAAACCCGTCCTTGTTGGCCTGAGTCAACCTCAGGCCAGTCTAGCCCAGCTTTTCTCTCACAACAGAGTTCAAGACCCTGCTGCCAAAACGTTCCTCTTCCAACCAGCTTCAAATGCCCCCTGCTCCCATTGACCCTGCAGACCAGTTATTGGGGATTTTCCCTGTACAGACACACAAACCACACCGGACAGGCACTTGAAGCAAGACATTTAGCTGCATCCAGGCCAGCGCCCACCTCCTTCAGGTCTGATTTGATATCTTCCCTCTGTGGGCTGCCCAGGAGCTAAGCCAGTGGCCAGAAGGGCATCTGCTTGCTCAGCCAGGTCACTGGTAAGCTAACAGCTCCCTCCTCTGTCAGACAGCACCAAAAGCAGTCTAGAATCTGTCCTAGCATCACTTGCAGCAGAGAATATTATTCATTCTCTCATTTTTGCACGCAGGAATGTCTCCAGGACAGTTTCCCTGGGGTACACAGACACCCAGGAACCCCCAGCCTGGTGCACTGAGTGCAGCTGAGGCTTCAGTTCTCACCCGTTCAATTTGTGTGAGCCTCGCAGCCAGCAGCAGGGCATGGTCAGCGTGCTCTTTCCCTTCCTGATGTCCCAGCACATACTGAACACCCTGCTCCGGTCCTTCAGGGATGTGGCTTTTGCAGGGTGCACTTTCTCACGGTATAACTCATTAGAGCTCTTCCAAACGTTTCTAAAGGAGGGGAAAAAAAAAAAAAAGAGAACAGTCAGATAACCTTTTTCTAAATCGCACAAAAAGTTGATTTTAAATACCTTTCTGTAACTTTGAAATCTTCTGTTCTTTTCATATTCTATATTCTGATGCTTTGCAAAGCACTATAAATTTCTGTCCAGTGGCATTATTGCTGGATCCCACTGAACACCTCTACCTGCTTTTTGTCTGTCCCACTCTGTTTAAAAACTCAAAGTTCTGTATAAATTTGGTCTTTGAGCATAAACTGAATTTGACTGGTCACTTGTTGCCTCCTAGTCAACTTGTATATTTTTTCTGATAGAGTTTTTAAGTCAATTAACTCTCTTCACACATACCACAAGGTAAACTTGCTTGCTTTTATTGCATTTTCTTGCCCTAGCAGCTACTGTGCACTTAAAGACAGCAGAACATTATGTACGAGCTTAAAGCAAAGGTGCTATGTAGGTGTGGAAAAAGCTGAATAATTGTGAATTGAAATTCAAAGCAGCTTTCAAGTGAGGCATGAGCTAAAAGGGTTGTATGGAAAAATAAATGACTTGCAACAAAAAGAATATGATAGGGAAATACAGGAAAGGGCTTCAGCACTGCATCTGGAGCTGCTTGTACCCTGCCTGCAGGAGAAAGGAAGGTGGTTCAAGCCAAGAACAAGGATCAAGCTTGTAAAACTCACTGCTGTTAGAAACCGTCATGCCCAAGCACCAGCCAGGGGTTTCCAGGAGGTATGGACTTCTGCATAGACATTCCCTGGTACAGACGCAAGATAAACCTTCAGGTTCAAGTAATAAATCACCTTCCTGTGAAGAAGCCAGAAGGATCCCACCTGAAATTGGACAGAAAATACCGAACACCATGATTTCTTTCCGGTTGCTTCACTGTAGGATTTGCAAGAGGACTTGCTGCATCTGGGTATGCAGGAGTCCTGCTGGCTCTGCTGTTCCTGGGCAGCCTGCATTCCTCAGCACCTTGAGGGCTTCTGCACCAGGGCTTCTCACCGTGGGAATACAGAGCTGTTTCCTCCTCCTGCACTCCTGCCATGGAGCTGGCTGCTCCCTGGGCCAGGAAATAGCGAGGCACAAACACCCCGCACAAACCCATTGGTGCCACACCAAGTGCACTGAGCTCACGGGTTTCATTTCTCCACACCTGTCTGAAAGCCCCATGTTTGACCAGGGGCTAGCAACTTTTTGGAGCTTCTACCACCTCCTCCCCTGCAAACCAGAGGGTTTTGATGCTCCTCTCCCTGGGGAAGGGCAGTTCCCTGTTCTCTGGGAATCCCCTGCACTGGAGCTCTCCCCATCACTAGAGCTGCTGTGACAGCAGTGCTGCCCCACACCGTGCTGCAGATCCATTGCAAGCTGCACACCCCCACAGAGGCACAAGCAGGTTAATTGCTGCAGTCATCAGGAAGGAGGATGCTAAAGGACTGGCCTTTGAAGTGGCTGCTTCTTTTAGGACTTCAGACAAGTGACTTGGCCTTCTGGCTTCTGTATCTGCGGGACAGGTACACAACCTAAATTTGTTAAAGCCTGAACTTGGCCTAAATGCTGCACATATTGGGGGAGAGGAAGAAGAAGGTCTTACATGGAAGAAATAGATCACCTCTTGGTTTGTGGTTTGACTCAGCTTTTTTCCTTTCTTTTTTTTTTTTTATACTGGCACCACTGGGAGAGTTCCCATTTGCTTAACTAGGCCACGTATGAGGAAACTGGGAGGGCACTTGAAATGTTTGGAGTGGCTTGACCTGCTAACTTTCATTCTTCATGAATCTGAGCAGCCTGGGTTCAGATGAGTTTTTGACTTTCAGATGAGCTGAACATCCAGAACAGCATGGAAAAGTTGTTGCGTGTATATGTTTATATATATAAAACCACACACAACCTTCACACTTCTAAGTTTAAGTAGTCCTAAAGCAATAAAATGCTATGACAGCATTGTTATATTGGTAAGCATGTTTGGGAGCTGGGAAGGATATCTAAAAACAGCCTACAATACAATTAGCCAACAGAAAATATCTGAGCAGGGTACATTATGAAAGGACTTTTGCTAAACAATATCTACTCAGAACTTCTGTAAAGGCTTTTGATGTGCTCCCACACGGCATACTGATCTCCAGACTGGAGAGATACAGACTTAATGGATGGACGATTCAGTAGGTGAGGAATTGGCTTGAAGGCTGCACCCAGGGAGCAGTGGTCAATGGCTCTGTGTCCAAATACAGCCCAGAAGGCCAGCTACAGCCTGGGTGGCATCAAAAGGAGAGGCCAGCAGTGGAGGGAGGTGATTGTCCCCCTCTACTCCACCCCTGTGAGGCCCCACTTGGAGTCCTGCATCCAGATCTGGGGCCCCCAGCACAAGAAGGATGTGGGGCTGTTAGAGCGGGTCCAGACAAGGGCCACAAAGCTGATCAGAGGCTGGATCAGCTCTCCTGTGAAGAAAGGCTGAGAGAGCTGGGGCTGTTCAGCCTGAAGAGAAGGCTCTGTGGTGACCTCATTGCAGCTTTTCGGTACTTGAAGGGGGCTTGTAAAAGAGGTGGAGGGAGACTTTTTGTGCATTCAGATGACAGGATGAGGGGGAATGGCTCTAAACTAAGAGAGGGGAGATTTAGATTAGAGGTTAGGAGGAAATTCTTCACCCATAGGGTGATGAGGCACCAGCACAGGCTGCCCAGAGAAGCTGCAGATGTCCCATCCTTGGAGGTGTCTGAGGCCAGGCTGGATGGGGCCCTGAGCACCCTGATCTAGTGGGTGGCATCCCAGCCTATAGCTGGGGGGTCAAAACTGATAGATCTTTAAGGTCCCTTCCAACCCATATGTTCTCAAAGAAAAACCCCGATCAGCTACTGCTTTCTGTTACTTCCTCTCAAGTTCTGTTGCTTCTGGTAGCTGTAAACACACTTGAGAGATTGCCTGACTACAATAAGTAGAATTGATTGCAAAAGTGTTCTGCAAAAGATATTCTGAGATGTATCAGCTGTTCCTGGATGTCAGCTAAGAAACCTTTTCTGCCCCTGTATGAATTCTTATATTGGCAAAAAAAAAGTTGGAAAAGGAAACAAACTTTACTTACAGAGAGGGAGCTAGATTAAGGATCCTCATAGCCAGTAGCAGGGCTTGTTGGCAATCATCTCCATTCCAAGCAGAGCTCTCAATCTGTTAAAAGCTATTCACCATTCTGAGGGAGGAGGCAGCTCTGCCCTTATCAAGCTCCAGAAGCACTCTGATTAGCACAAGCCTACTTTAACAGTGAAAACCTGACCTGGAGCCACAGACCCAACCAAATCCAAAGAGCTCTGCCTTGGGCAAGGTGATACAGCTCTACGAACACACATACTGCAGTCAGAGCACCTGGCAGCATTCTGTAAACCAGGCCCAGAACAAAGACCAGACTTCCTGCTGGAGCAGGAAAAAAGCAGCACACCACGAGGTCCTCGGTCAGAGAGTAGGAATAAAAGAAATGGCAGAAAGGAATGTGATAGATCCTTTCTGGAACAGGTTGCTGTTTGAGCCCCACTAAGGTGGTGTCCAAACCACATATGTAATTTCCCTACACACTTAAGACAAATGGATTTCAGTCTCGATGTACCTGTGGTGTCAGAGGTAGACGTGTACCGGGCACCCTAATGAACAAACCATCCCCAGGCCCCACACAGTCACTGCCAGCCAAACACCAGCAACAAGCTGTCACTGTATTAAATGTTAACTCCTGCTTTTCAATTCCCAGAAGGTGCTAGTCCCAGAGCCTCACCTACTGGAGGAGGTTCGAGCAGTTCCTTCACCGACAGACACCAGGCAGTCCACAGAAAGGCCAGGCAGAGTTAGCTGAGGGGGAAACTCAGCCAGAGGAAGAAGGAAGGAGAATGAGGCACAGGTTGAGGCTCACAGCACCCAGTCCCCTTGGGGGAGCCTGGCTGCAGGAAGCTCTCCCCAGACACCAGCAGCAGCCTCACCACCACCACAGGGAGCTCAGAGGTGTTGGGGGCTGATGGCTGCCATGAGCTGCCCCCACAGGTCCCCTCAGCCGGCTGAAGAAGCCTGGGCGGACACAGCAGGATGGAGCCCCCCAAGCACAAAGGGGGCAGGAGCTTCACACCCAAGCCTCCTACAGAAACCACAGCACCCCTGCCTGGCCCAACAGCAGCTAACACATAGCCACCCTCAGCACCGAGCTCCTCCAGCAGCAGAGAAAAGATATTAAACTCCTAACCCACTCCGGGCCCAAACCCCCCTCACCCTCTCAGAGGAGCACCAACACGACCCCTCCTCACACACCACCCACCACCACCCGCCCTAAAGCGCGGCGTAAATAGCACCCGGGCTTTTATAGCGCCCCTTCCCGGCGGCCCCCGCGGCTCGGCCGCTCCCATTGGCTGGCGGCTCGGGCGGGGGCGCGCACGGGCGCGCGCCAGCCGGGGCCGGGCCGGGCGGGGCCGAGCAGGGAGCGCAGCGCCGCGCCGCGTCGCGCCGGGCCGGGGAGCGCGCACGCCCCCGCCCCGCCCGTTTCCGTTCGGCCGCCGCTCTGAGCTCAGGGCCTGTGGAGCAGGAAGCGGCGGGAGCCGGACCCAGGGGAAGGCCGCAGGTACCGGCACGGGGCTCAGGGCCGCGCGGGGGGGGCGGGGAGGGACGGAGGGAGGGGTGGGGGGCGCTCCCGGTTGGTTTTCCCGGTGGGTTCGCTCCCGGTTGGTTCTTCCAGTCGGTGGCGAGGCCGCGGCTCCCGGGTGGGGCCCGGCCGAGAGCTCCGCGAGGCCGGTGGCGGGTGGGGGGGGAACCGGCCCACACCCCCCCCCCTTCTTTCTCCTCCCCTCTTTTTCTCCTCCTCCGCCCCGTCCCGGCCCGCGTTTCCCGGGGGAGCTCCGCCAAGTTCCCGGGGTCGGTAACGGGGCCGTTCCGGGCGGCGGGGGAGGGGAGGGGAGAGGAAGGCAGGGCTGGAGGAGGAGGAGGGGGGGGGGGGGGAGGGAGGGAGCGGCGCCGGGAGCAGCTTCCCCCGGGGGGCAGCCCACGGGGCTCGGCCGCCCTTTATAGAGGAGAGCGGGGGGCTCCCTCCGCGGGGACGTTGCCGGTTTTTGGAGGGGTTCAGGGGGGGGAACGGGGGAGCCGCGGGGCCGGGGCGCGCCGCGAGCGGGGCGTGGGGCGGCGGAGCGGCAGCCGCCGGCGGTGACGTCACCGAGCGCGGGAGGAGCCGGGGGGGGGGGGGGCGGTGAGGGGAGGGAGGGGGGGGGGGGAGGGGAGCGCGGGCGGCGGCCGCTCGGCAACGGCCGGGCCGCGGGGGCCTCGCCTCAGCGCGGAGCCGGGCCCCGGCCGCCCCCAGAGGGGACGGGAGGAGGCCGAGGAACGGGCGGGGGGTGCTCAGTAACCATCCGCGCCGGGCCCCGCTCGCCTTTTTGTGTTGTTGTGGTTCCGCTGGGGGAGTTTTTGAAGAGTGGGAGCCCTGCCCCGAGCTGCCTGTGAGGCACGCCCGCTGTAAGCCCTGACCGGGTTCGGCCAGGTGGCTGGCGTCGTGTGGTGTTAGAAAGGTGGTTTTTTTATTATTATTGCTATTATTTTTTCTTAGGGAACGAGTCCCGCAGACGTAACCGGCGGCCGCGGAGCCCTCGCGGCTCGCCAGGCGCGCGCCCTGGCTGGGTGCCACAGGGCCCGAGCGCCACAGGCAGGCGCTGCCCCGAGCCAGGAATCGACAGCAAAAACATCCTAAAATGCGCTTAATTGCCACCAGGATGTAGGGCTGGAGATGGCTCTTCAGATAAGCAAATTCTGAGTAGAAACAGTTTGATTTGTGGGGGGGGGGGGGTTAGGAATTAGCAGCATCTTCCCTCACTTTTTTCGCGGTAGCTCTTGTTTTCACTGCTTTTTACTTACATCTTACCTTGATCCTCTTATGTTTTTTTACTTTTCAATATATTTACATTGTCGCAAGCACCATTGGCTCTTTACACAACTTGCGTGGTCTGCTCAGCTCTCTGAGCTCCTGCCTCGACCACCACACTCACCAGGCCCTTGTACCTCCCTGGTCTTGTCTCTGTGTAGTATCCGCAGTATTTCAGTCCCTGCCGCTGTGATATTGTCGAGGGTCTTCCCAAGTCTCCCCTCAGACCTAACCCCTTACATTGTACGCTAATGGCTGGACTGGTTTGTGTATTATTACGTGTCCACTTAAACTGCTGTATGTCGCTCTGTTCTCTCAGGACTTGCCTTCAAGTTTAACTAATGTGGAGGAAAAGTTAAACCGGTGAGCTCGAGGAAGTTCCCGTGTCAGGAAAGGCTAGTCAGCGTGCCCTTCTAATGCTAAGTTGTTCCGTGCGGTGAGTCTGTGCTGCTACAGAGGTAATATTGGTAAAAACTCGTACCAGAGAGCGTTGCTGTGTGAAGTACACGCACATAATGACAGCTTGACTTAGGTTCCAGGGATGTGGCTATGCAAATGCACACGCCTTAATGCGGAATGGAAATCCTCGGGTGGTGGCGTGGCTGCCCTCCTGCAGCGCTGAGCACGGTGCAGAGCGCCAGGTAGCCAAACACAGTCAGCTGTGTATTCCCTCTGTGATCGTCTCAAGAAGCCCGAGTATCCCAGAACTGCTTCCAGTCGCTGATTTAAGTTACTGTTGCTTTGCTGTGTGAGCCATGTACACCGCTGCCAGGTGTCCAGGTGCCTTCTGACCTTGATCTCTGTTCTCACCTCGTTCTGAGCTGTGGGTGAAAGATGCCAAAAGCGTGAGTGGAGTTGGTAGAGGAGCTCTGATCCGTCCATCCTCTCTTCTCTCCTTTTCCTAGCCACGTTTTCACTTGAAAAGGGTATTTGAGAGAGTGAAATAACTAAAATATCCATAAAGCAACTTTTGATTAAGGTGTTTGCTGTCCACTCAAGCATGCACACTAGCAGCCAGTCCTTCTTAAGCAGATCTCCTAATTAAACCAGTCGGAGCAGGGTTTGCTCTCATCCTCTGACCAGCCTTCATGAAGAAGGAGTGGATGGTGTCACCAGTGTACCTGATGCCTCTAATAAAATTGGGCTGTGCACCGACAACAAATGTGAGGCCTGTCTTCCCTCAAACTCCAACAGTTGGTTTTTGATTGATTATTTTTTGTTGTTTTTAATCAGAAACCGCAAATTCAGCCTCCTTGCTCAGTAAACTAGCAGTGCTTTGTGGCCAGAAGTCTCTTACCTCACCGTGTACTGGCTGATGGAACTGTCACGGTGTGGAGCAGGTCCTCGCGTGGGTCTGTACAGCCAGAGGGATTCCTCCTCCTCAGCTTTTCAGGAAGGTTGCCTTTGTGTGTGTCAGTGGTTTGGAAGAACCAGCAGCTCTCCCAAGTACCAGTTATCTCTGTTTGCATTCTTTGCTAACGTTTCATATTTCTTACGTTTTACACGTGAAGGCTCTTTGTTCTTCACCTTCCATCTGCACTGCTGAAGTTGTGTACGATGAGAAGGCTGGCGTGGGGTGGGATCTCAACAGCTTGGTACTGACAAAGGGAATCGGTTCATTTTTTGAACTTCAGTCCAAAAGCTGTTGGAAAGGCTGGCTTCCATGTAAACCACAGCAGAACTAGGCTTCTGCACTTGAAATTGAAAATGTTGCTGGGAAGATTTTAAATTATAGTGTGGAATGTCAACAGATGAGAATGCAGTTTGGGAGAAAGAAACTGTTCAAAAAAAGAATATGGCCCTCAGAAAGTTCAAGTTCTGAAGTTGACCCAGAAGGTAAATAAGAACATGAACTGTCACATTCAAGTCAGATGAGAAATACAGGAAACTTTCAGTAACATCAAACTGCTACCAAAATTAAATGATAAATTATTTTCCAAGCACGTAATAAGGTTGCTGGAGTCTGGAGGGTCAGTAGATGATGATGAAGTGAAAGAAGTATTTGACGATGAAGCCATCAGAAGAAAGTTACGTGATTTATGCGCATTCCTGTTTACTGTGGAGGAGTCCAAAGAGGTTCCTCTGCCAGAAATTCTCTTTATGGGGAGAAGGACTCACTGGAAGATAGTCAGCAAAGAGTATTTCAGGAAAATGCTAAGTGTAGTTACAAAAGGCCAAGAGCAGATGGTGCTTGCCCAAGGGGTTCCAAAGGAACTTGGGGATGAAACGTCTGTGTTGGTAATTACGCTGTCTGACTTCTCACTTCATACCTTGAAGCCAGAGAAATAGGAGATGGCCTACATGGTATCAGTTCTTAAAAATAGTTCAGCAGGATATCATAGAGTTCAAGGCCTATTTTTAAAATTAAAAAAAAAAAAAAGTAAAGAGTTGGGCTAACAACTTAAAAGTGGATAAAATCAGTGCTGCCTTTGCAAAGGAAGTGGTGCTGCTTAAGCTTCCCAAAGTTTTGGAATGACTTGGCAGGCACAGAGAAGGGAAGGAAGCGTGGGGCAAGAGGAGAACAGGGGTCTGTGGAGTTATGCCTGTTTTGGTCAGCGTGCTCTCAAACAGCCAGGTGAGATCTGAAGGTGAGACGAGTGTTGGGTAGTAAGGGGAGGAAGGACGAAAGCTGACTCGGAAGAACTGCGTGTAGTCCTGATGCTGAAGTAAAGGTAGTAAAACATCAAATGAAATTCATTCCAGACAGATGCAAAGCCAGGAAAAAAAATCGTGATTTCATGGGGGGAGAGTTAATTATTCCCATTTAGGAGGAAGAGGTTATCATAATTCTTTGGAAATGCTGCAGGTTGAATATTCAGCAGTGATCAGATGAGTGCATGTGAGGAGCCCTGGGGAGAGGAGTAGAGAAGAAAGCAGGAAAGCACCACGGCTCTCGGGTCATCGCCCACAGATACCCTGATTACTGCGGAGGAAAATGGACTTGGGGATTCGGTACAACAGGAAAAGCAAAGAAGAGGCTGACAAGGATGATCAGGGATAATGCATGGATTCCATACAGGGGATGCTTAAGGAGATTTGAACTCCTCAGCTTGGCAAGGATGTGCCTGAGTGCGCTCTGGTCTAGATCAAAACCCACGGTGCCTCTTGCAGTCTGCACAGAGACCACAGAACTCAGCACTACAAAGAGCTCTGCGTGGCGATGATTTATGTGACTTCAAAATCCAACAGATGAAATCACAGAAGAAAACGCTATCAAATGGGCTGCCGAGCACAAAGATTAACAAGCTGACTAAGAATACCCAAGCTGGAAACTGGGAAAATAACCTCAGGGAGGTGTCAGTGCATTTGTTTGTTCTTCTCCTCCCTTGGTCATCTCAGAGGCAGGTGGGTGCTGGCAGGAGGAGGAGGGCGTTTGGCCTGAACCACTGCAGTCTCAGCAGTCATCTCATGGTAGGAGCAGAGGAAGAGGACAGT